GGTGGCCTCAATAAAAATAAATAAATAAAAATAAGATGCTTCCTGACCTCACATCTGTGTCCACAGAGCAAATGCTCCTGTAGGACATTCTCAGGCCAGCCAGAACCAGATGATGTGGTATGATGGAACCAATCCCATGTTCATTTGGAGGTGGGAAAGACTTTTCTTCTGTGAATGTCAAGGTATTAAACAATCCCAGACAATCTGCCCCATTAAGATGAATTTCAAAGTCAAGACCACAGGATGGGCCTGGAGTTGGCCTGTGCCTCCTGCATTTATAGCCTACTAAAGTGAACCCAGGGGATTCCAGACTCCCCTGGCCAGACTAGGCCAGATGGACAGCCTGTGTGACCATCCAAGGATCCAGTCCCACATTTGTCCATTCATTCAGGGCATACCTGAGCCAATCTGTTGGTCAGCTCACAAACATGTATTCAGTATGACCATCTAGTGCCGTGGTCGGCAAACTGCGGCTCGTGAGCCACATGCGGCTCTTTGGCCCCTTGAGTGTGGCTCTTCCTAAGCCTTAGGAGTACCCTAATTAAGTTAATAACAATGTACCTACCTATATAGTTTAAGTTTAAAAAATTTGGCTCTCAAAAGAAATTTCAATCGTTGTACTGTTGATATTTGGCTCTGTTGACTAATGAGTTTGCCGACCGCTGGTTTAGTGAGTAACTGTGGGTAAATCACTGTGGAGCTGGAAGTGAATAGGACTTTGTACCTACCTTAAAGGGCTTAGGAATATAGTGGGGTAGACAGGTCAACAATGACCTAATCTACACTGGAAGGCAAAATAAAGTGTGTAATCAAGGACAGAGTAGAAAGGCAAGAGCTATGTATTCCACCTGGTACAGGGAACAGCCAAACATTTTTCTTCAGGGAGGGACATCTGACTTGATCTTTAACCAATAAGCAGACCTTCATTAGGTAGAGGAGTGAGGGCAGGTATTCTAGGCTGAGGAAGAGGCTTAAGGCACTGTGACTTAAAAGCATGAGTGGTGCATGGTGCTGGATGAATACCATGGGAAGGAGATACAGCTGTGGCTGACAGAGAGATGATTTAGAATGAAGGCCACATTTGTTTTCCACACTGCAGTGCATTGTGGGTTTGAATTTTGCAGTGCCACTTCCTAGCTTTATGACCTTGGCCAAGTCTCTGTCTCTTTACCTCTCTGTGCCTCAGTATACTTATCTTTAAAATTATTGTCATGAAGGATGCATGAGATGAAAAATATAAAATGCTTAGCACAATACTTGGTATTTAAGTTGCTCCACAAGTTATAATAGTAGTTTCACTTTAAAAAATGAGATCCCAGGAATAAAGATTACAACTACATTGTTCTAAAGGCTAAAATCAGTCTAATGTACTGGGTCATCTGCAGAGTCCATTTTCAATTATTTATTTGGAAGACAGCAAAAAAGAACTATTCATGGCTTTTGGAGTTTGACAGTCCTGCATTTGAGTCCCAGTACCTCCACTAACCAGCTGTGTAGCTTATGCAATTTACTTAACCTCCCAAAAAATCAGTTTCTGGATCTGCAAAATGGAATAGCATGCCTGTCTTGACAGGGTTGCTGAGAAGCTTAAATAAGATATCAGATGGAAAGTTCCTGGCACAGAGGCAGGCAGTCAAGGACAACCATTGTCGTTTCAACTGTTCAACTGAAAGCTTTTATCTCCCTAAACTTTGGACTATTAAAGTTCCTTTGTAGAAATTGGAAAATGTGGTCTCAATAAAGCCATGAATTGGAACGCAGTCCACATATTGAGGCCAGAGATAAGGGATGCTCTGTACCCAGTTGGAGCCAAATGAGCAAATCTTCCTCCCAGCCTTGGGCAGAGACCTTCCCACTTTGTTCTAATGACCAGATCCAGGCACATTTACACAATCCATTTCCTTTCACTATTTTTTTGTCAGAGCTTTAAGATCTATTATTTGTCCTATTTGACCCACCCTCACCAGATCAACTGCAGATCACCTAATTTGGTGAGGAAGTCAATTTAAACACAGAAGAATCTACTGAACCCCAGGGTCAGATGTCATGGGATTGGAGAGCAGAAGCAAGAGTCTAAACTTGCAGCAGTTCTCAACCTGTGGGTCGTGACCCCTTTGGTGGTCCAACGACCCTTTCACAGGGGTCGCCTAAGACCATCCTGCATATCAGATATTTACATTACGATTCATAACAGTAGCAACATTACAGTTATGAAGTAGCAATGAAAATAATTTTATGGTTAGGTCACAACATGAGGAACTGTATTTAAAGGGCCAGAAGGTTGAGAACCACTGGAAAGGAAACCTAAGAGCTACTTCCAGCATCACTCCTGACTGTGTAAGATGAACCTTCTACCTCCCTCCTCTACCCCATTCACTGTTCCATCTGCAAGAAAAAGTCCACAGTGTTCAAATGGAAAGTGCTTCATCTCCAAATCTGAATTGTTTACTTCAAGGAACTCTAGGTATTGTGGCTGTAAATAAGAAGGTAGAAAGGAGCAGGTGAAGTACCTTGGCAGGTTGAAGATGAACTCAGCAGTAAAAGGGAATCAGATTGTTCATTTGCTTTCAAGCAACAGAAGTCAAGAACAAGACCCACAGGAAGCCTTCTAGCCATAATTGACATACTAGTAAGTGAAGTAAAGACCTGCTCTCCAAGAACCAGAAGTCACAGAAAATGGAGCAGGTTTCCCAGCCCCTGGCTTCACAACCCGTTCACTATGGACAGCCCTGCATGCTGTTTCCATGGAGTTGCTACTTCTCTGGGGCCAGTGATGGCAAATCCAGCAAAGGAGAGGTCCCCTCAAGAGCTCACAGAAGGGCAACCTAGCAACCTGTCCTGAAGCCAGGAAATGAAAGAGCTCTATCAGCAGCAGAGAGCTATGGTTGTGGTTTAGATCCAATTGTTTCGTTCTCACACTTCTTTCTCAAAATCAAATTGAAAGAGGAAGATGCTATAAAGAAATGTTGTAGGGAAGGGGTTCTTAACCATTTCTGGGTGGCTGCTTATTTGAAAATCTACCAAGCTGTGGACTCAGAAAGATAGACAGGGTCCAAATTCTTTGCCAACAATTTCAGGAAAGACCCTAGGTAGGAATCTCTTCTCTGGAGTTGCATCTCATGACAGATATACTGTGGATAGGTACATTGGCAGCAGGCCTACTCACCTGATGTGGTTCACAAATCTCTCTACACCTCAGAATTAACAATGGCAGTATTTAAAAATATAAATCACACTCCCCATTCCAGTCCTAGTAAATCCAAATCCCCCAGAGGTGGGTCTCAGGAATCTACATTTCTCACAAACTCTCCAAAATGATTCTGAGGCAGCCAGCCTTGTACCCACACTTTGGTTAATAGCATGGGTTCTGGCATCAGAGAGATTTGGTCCAAATTTTGGCTTCACCTTGTAATTTCAGGTGTCATTTCACCTCTGAGCTTTATCTCTTTTGGGGCCATAAGATGTAGAAATACTGTTTTATTTAAAAAAAATAAACTGGCAACTCGTTTTAGTGTAAAAAAGAGAAAGAAAGTTGCCTTACTTTCCTCTTGGGTATAATGGGTAATGTAAAAGTTGCCCATGTCTTCCCACACCCCTCTCCCTGCAGCCTCCTCATCCCCTCCCTCTGCACTACCAGCACACCAAGACTGCTTGCTGTTGATAAGGTTTGAGAACACCAATGTAAAAAAAGCTCAATTGAGCAAATAGCATTCGGAGAGCAGCAGACTTGGATGCAAAATCGAAGCTGATGCTTATTTGCTATGTGATTCCAGGCAACATACTTAACCTCTCTGTTTCCTTATCTATGAAATAGAGAGAGTACTCCTTGCTGACTATTTCTATGTAATTCTAAATGAGCCCTCCCATCTCCACTTTGGCTCTTCTCCACTAACCCTCAATCTGAGAGTAGGGAGGGAGGAGTGTTCACAAGAGACAGCCTTTGAAATCAGACATGTCGACTTGGGCATGAGCTCTTAGCTCCGCACTTCCTAACCATATTGCCTGGGCGCTTAAGCCCCCTCTCTATTAAATGGGCACTCTGCTACCTTCTTCCCAAGGCTGCTGAGAAGAATCAATGAATGTTAATGTAAGAGCATCTGCAAGTAGAAAGCGCTCAGTAAATGCTTTCCCCCCTTCCCTCTATACAAAGGTGAGGAACTTTTATTGTTCACTTGATTTCTGTCCCACCTTGTGCTTAAGACATCCAGTGGCAGAGTGCGAAGGAAAGTGAGGTAGAAGGGGAGTGGGAGAAGGGAAGCAAAGAGAAAAGCAACAAACTCACGGGTAAAATGCAAATCGGCCGAGTCCGGTGCTTCCCAGCTGCACTTGACACTGCGCTGGCTCTCGCGCCTGTGTACCGCAGCCCCCGCGAGTAGCTCCCCCCTTTTGCTAGCTATGGCTTGAGCCGAGGCTGACCAGGGAGGCCGCCCCCGCGTCCCACTGATTGGCCGCGCCGCCAGGCTCATTATGCTCTTTTGTCTCAATGGGCAAAGGCTGAAAGAAGCATGGCTGCTGGGAGGGCCCTGTGGGTAAGCAGGGGCCGCCTCCGCTGCTGTGGGAACTATGAGGCCTCAACTCAGCTCCCCCTTGCTGGGCGGTCTTGCAGAGCAGCTCCTTCTAGCAGCCCCAATTCGCTTAGTGGCCTAGGAAGCAACATCCTACCCCCACCCCCGCCTCAGGGCCTCAGAGATCTGAAGGCGGCATACCTTGCTGTCCACACGGCACCATCCACTGCCCACCGGATGAGTACAGGTAAAGAAAGGGGGTGCGACTGCCTGGTGTGGTGAAAGGCTAAGGGAAGCTCCAGCAGGACTGGGCGGCTCCACGCTTGGGGAATCGAAAACTGTGAGGCAGGGGAAGGAGCTCTCCCATAGCCCGGCTGGAGGGAGGAGGTGGGGGTGTCACTGGATGCTCCCTAGTGGGTAGGATTTGCCTAGACTGAGGAGGGGGGTCGTTTTCAGGAGGGGTAGTTAGGGGAAAGGGGTGGGGATGAATCGCTAGCTATCTGCCTTGAAACCCTTTTCATTTCATCTCTTCCTGGAGGGGAATATGTTGGTGTTCGTTCCAACTCCTATTCCCTTTCTAGGTGGTAGGCCTTCAAAGCCAAATGAGAACTTGAAATCTGTGTGGCTGATTGCAGAGCTGGTAGGCTGAAGATTTCCTTGGGAAAATTTAATGTAGGGGTCGCTTTGGCTTATATTCAGAAGATGGGAGAGAGAATTTTCTGTCTGGATACAGCAGTGGTTGGGTGGTTGGGTGGTGGTGGGAATGAGGCTGCTTCTGATTCTTCTCTTCCCTGCCTTGTCCTCCACGATGATGCAATCTGAGGACTGGAATATTCAACCCTGAGTGGTAAAAGGTCGACCTACCCCAGAAAGGAACTTTCTCATGGAGGGCACCTGTTGCAGAGGCTGGAAGTGAAATAAAGGCGTGCCCTTGTTTTCGAGCTCTGGTAAGAATCTGAGAAATAACCGGCAAACTTTGAGAAGGGGTTATAGTTGAAACCTGAGACCAAGAGTTTAATCTCATTTATTACCAAAAATCTGTAAGACTTAGACCATTGCACTCTATTTTGAGCGCCCAGTTCAACTCCACACACTTACCTGGAATTCCAAGCTACAGTTTGCCCATCCTCCTCCCTCCTGGAGGATTGGTAGGAGAGGATGGATGTGGCTCTGAAAAGCATCCTTGTAAGCATGGGACATCCCCTAGCTCCAGAAGGTTGTAATTGACAGTTTCCTGAAGGATAATTTTAGGGCAGTGGGCAAATATAAAATGTACTGCAGGATGTTCAGGAAGGTTGAGAAACCTATTGCAGGCTGCTTCCCTGAGGTCTACTACCTTATTGACTCCCCCCCCACCCCTGCCACTTTTTTTACAGCTCTATTGAAATACAAGGAAGGCAGAGCCCAGGAACATTGCTTTGGGAATTCCTCCTGCAAATTAGGCTTTTCTAAAAGCCTGAGCATCTTGTTATACATATAGGCGATCATTGATCATTTGGTCATGGCTAGCATCATTACTCATGTGGGTAATAGCCGGCGGCAAAACACACCCTTGCCTCCTTGGGCCCATTCCATGTTGAGGTCCTTGGGGAGGAGTCTTGGTCCTTTAAGGTTCAACATGGCAGAAAGAAACATGAATTTGTTTTCCGGCAGAGCGGTACCAGCCCAAGGGGAAGAAACCTTTGAAAACTGGCTAATCCAAGTCAATGGGGTCCTGCCAGATTGGAATATGTCTGAGGAGGAGAAGCTCAAGCGCCTGATGAAAACCCTTAGGGGCCCTGCCCGGGAGGTCATGCATTTGCTCCAGGCAGCCAACCCCAACCTAAGTGTGGCAGATTTCTTGCACGCAATGAAATTGGTGTTTGGGGAGACTGAAAACAATGTGACTGCCCATGGTAAATTTTTTAACACCCTGCAGGCACAAGGGGAGAAAGCCTCCCTTTATGTGATCCGTTTAGAGGTGCAGCTCCAAAACGCTATTCAGGCAGGGATCATAGCCGAGAAAGATGCAAACCAGACTCGCCTGCACCAGCTCCTTTTAGGGGCTGAGCTGAATGGGGACCTGCACTATAGGCTGAAGCATCTTCTCAGGATGTATGCAAATGAGCAGGAGCGTCTTCCCAATTTCCTGGAGTTAATCAAGATGATAAGGGAGGAGGAGGATTGGGATGACACTTTTATTAATCAGAAGCGGGCCAGGAGATCTGAGTCAATGGTGGAGAGGGCAACCAGCCCAGTGGCATTTCAGGGTTCCCTACCGATAGTGATCGGCAGTGCTGACTGCAATGTGATAGAGCTAGATGATATCCTCAATGACTCAGATGAGGATGTGATCCTGGTAGACCCTCCACTTCCATCCATGGGTGCCCTTCCCCTCAGAGACAGGGTCCCACCTCAGGATCAGACATTGGTCATTGATTCCCCCAACAGTTCCCAGGTCCAGTCTCCTTCCATCAGTGGTGGTTCCGGGTATAAGAATGATGGTTCTGGGGATATGCGTAGAGCCAGGAAGCAAAAATACACAACCCACTGTTCATATTGTGGAAAGGAGGGCCACTCCAAGGAAACCTGTGACAATGAGAGCAACAAGGCCCAGGTATTTGAGAACCTGATCATCACCTTGCATGAGCTGATACCTACAGAGGAGGAGGGGTCAAAAGAGGTACCCAGTGAAAACAATGACCTCTGAGCCACAGTAAGGTGAGAGACCCAGCCCTAAGTGAATCCTTAGATATACTAAAAAACTGGTGATGAGAAAAATGGGAGTAGATTTCTATCTGCATGAATTAATCCATGGAAGAGGAGGTGTTGGATGCCAGCAAAGTGGAGGAGATGGCCTGACCTCTGTCCCTGCTCCCTCTTCTGTCTCCCTAAGGGTCTATTCTCTGTGCCTCTATTTCCTTGCTGACTTTGTTTTATGAAAGGAGTAGAACACTTTGTTAAACCTTTAAAAATGTAGGAAAATAGAAAAACTAAAGTACAAATCACCTGAAACTCTCCACTCATATAGCCATTGTCAGCCCTTTGATGAATGTCCTTTTGTATATTTCCTTATAATTGTGTACCCAGATAAATATATGTATACATAAAAGTGATCAAATATAAGTGCTGTTCTATACTGTGTATTTTTTCACCAAGCACTATATGTGGTGACCTTCTATGTCAATGAATATATATAAGCATCAAGTTTAATGTCTGTGTGTGATATTAATTTTAGGAATATAGAGGAAAAAGAGGAAAACTAAATATAGAAGCTATAATGAGGAAGGTCATACTCCAAAGTAGAATTTTTAGACATGAAGAAAAGGGAAGCTGAAAAAGACTTTCATTTTTTTTTTGCATGTACCTGTCCAATTTTCCCAACACCATTTATTGAAGAGGCTGTCTTGACTCCATTGTATGTTCATGCCTCCTTTGTTGAAAGTTAATTGAGCATAGTGGTTGGGTTGATTTCTGGGTTCTCTATTCTATTCCATTGATCTATATGTCTGTTCTTGTGCCAGTACCAGGCAGTTTTGAGAACAGTGGCTTTGTAATACAGCTTGACATCTGGTATTGAGATCCCACCTACTTTGTTCTTCTTTCTCAGGATTGCTGCCGCTATTCGGGGTCTTTTTTTATTCCAGATGAATTTTTGGAAAGTTCGTTCTAGGACTGTGAAATGTGCCATTGGTATTTTAATGGGGAGTGCATTGAATCTATAGATTGCTTTGGGTAGTATGGACATTTGGAACTGGAGAGCATTATGCTAAGTGAAATAAACCAGTCAGAGGAAGATAAATATCACATGATCTCACTCATTTATGGAATATAATGAACAACATAAACTGATGAACAACAACAGATCCAGAGACAGAGAAGCATCAATCAGACCATCAAACCTCAGAGGGAAGGTACGGTAGGATGGGGGTAAGGGGGAGAGATCAACCAAAGGACTTGTATGCATGCATATAAGCCTAACCAATAGACACAGACAACAGGGGGGTGAAGGCATGAGTGGGGCGGGAGGGTAATAGGGGAATAAGGACATATATGTAATACCTTAATCAATAAAGAAATTTTTTAAAAAGACTGAATTCCTCCCAAAGAGCTCCTTATCACAATTGATCTGTCTCTTAAGTCACTGAGTCAAGTCCCCATCCACTTGTTAATAATGTCCCAATGCTTCTCTAATGCATCTGAGAAATCTGATGATGGGACAGGGGTGGGGGCAAAAATGGTAAATGGGTACTTCAGGGGCTCCATTCCTGTTCACTTTGGGAAGGGGCAGCTCTTCCTTTCCTGGGTAGATTTCACAGATTGCTGCTACTGCTGTTTCTGGACAATGCCTGGAAGTAGCAACAAGACTGTCCTTTGGGCTGACACTATCATCTCTGCCTCCTCCCTAATTACACAGAAACTAGCTACTCTTGGGACTGTGGTACCTGGAGGCTCAGGCCTTCCAAGCCTCACCCTAGCTGCATGCTAGAGGACACTAGCAGCCCAAGAATTCCAAGCTTACTTCACCCCGACCCAAGAATGGGAATAGCCAAGGCAGGATGAAAAGCAATCTGGATGTCAGGGCATGTAAAAAAAATAAGGGAATTAGAAAACTCACATACCATTTTAGAATTAAGGGCAATAATAGGAGAGAGAAGACGCAGAAGGACCTTCCTGACCTTCATTTCATGGTCTCAGATTGGAGGGTGATAAATAATTATGTGTGCTCTGGCCACATGGATCAGTTCATTGGAGTGTCATCCTGTACACAAAAAAAGTTGTGGGTTTGATTTCGGGTCAGGTATATACCTAGGTTCATGTTTGGTCCCAGGTCAGTGCGAGTATGGGGGACAGCCAATCAATGTTTCTCATGTCTGTGTGTGTGTCTCTCTCTCTTCATCCTCCCCCTTCTTCTTTCTCTAAAACCAATGGAAATGTATTCTCGGGTGAGAATTAAAAAAAAAAAATGACATGTGACCTCAGTCCCTAAGGGTCCCATGTTTCTTGCAGTTTTATCAGTTCCTATCCTTGTGAGCAACACAAGGTTGGTAGAGAGATGATTTCATTTAATGTAGGGAGTGGAGTGAAATAAATGCAGACCTGAGAGAGCTTGTCAGGAAGGAAATAGGGGCTCCAACTAAGCTGAGAGGACAGGGTGCTGCAGTGGGAGATGGTGTGTGAAGAGGAAGCATAGATGTATGAGTAGGAGAGAGGAGGAGGTGGGTGGGGGCAGATGACCAGGCTGGGGACTCACATTTAGATGGACAGGAAGCCTGGTAGGAACTGCAGACCCAGAGGTTTCACACAGAACTCTGGGCCCTGTGGTCCTGAGGGGAGCCAGGTGTTGGAGCTCTAGTTAGCTAGCAGTTGGTGGCCCACTTAATAGGGACAAAGAGGGCTGAGGCCCAGGGGGAGGGGGAGAAGCCAGGCCCTGCAAGAAGCCCACTGCAGCCTTTCCTGGACTGCTGCACCCAGAACCTGACTTAAAGGGCTCCTCCTTCCAGAATCACCCCTCAGCTCCTCCCTGGCTTCTTACTCCTGCTCCATCCAGGATCCCACAATCTCATTTTACAACCCCCCACCCCAAGCCACACACTCACACTCTCTCTTGGTGGAGGCAGGTAGAGGTTCAGCCTCCCCTGCTGTGCCATCACTCCTCCCCCACCCCACATTCCATGTTTGCTGTAAGCCCCACCTCCTCACCCCTTGACCAGGAGACTGTGAGGGCCCCTCTGCCTGGAACCCTTTAGCTGAGCACTGGCCAGGAGCAAAGGCTAAAGAGGCCCACTCCTTGCATCCCTCTGGGGCCCTGGCAGTGACCTCCATTTCTCCAAAGCCAAAGGGACACCTTCCTCACTCCAGGCAGGAGGTAGCTCCACTCAGGCTCCTAAAGCCACAGGGCCTCCTAATATTCCCCAGCTGGCCTCCCAAGGGACCTCTTCCCCAACTTTTACCCGCACCTAAATAAAGATGAGTGATGAGCCCTGGCTAGTTTTTCTCAGTGGTTTGAGTGTCAGCCAGAGGATTGAAGGGTTGAGGGTTTTGATTCCTGGTCAAGGACAAGTACCTGGGTTGTGGATTCGATCCCTGGACCTGGTCAGGTTGCCTGTGGGAGCCAACCAATCAATGTGTCTCTCACACAGATGTTTCCCTCTCTTTCTCTCCCTACCCTTCCATTCTATCTGAAAACCAATGGAAAAAATACGAGTGAGGATTAAAAAATAATTAATTAATTAATTAAATAACAAATTAAAAAAAGGTAAGTGGTGAGGGAAATGCTGCTCCACTCTTCTAGTTCAAAGTGCAATGATTTTCCACATCCTTCCCACATTGAATGACTTACTCAGATAAACAATCCATGCTATCATAATTTCTTTCTGGGCTCAGGTAGAGTAAAAGGAAAAATAAATAAATGCTACACTTTCCACCACCCTCCTTTTCATTGGAGCTGCTTTAGGGTTCAGTATAAATTGCTGCTTTGAAAACTTCTGTGATGCATCCCCTTTCAGCCCTCCTCCATCCTCTTTGTTGTGTAAACTTGAAATTGTTTAAAATTTTATTTCACCAAAATGACGAAAACCAGAAACTATTTCACTTTGTGTGACACTGGCTTTTCCTTTATTCAAGAAATATGTATTTTTTTTTTATTTGGAAGACGTGGCACAATAGGGCATTCTGATCAGATTAAGAGTTAGCCAATGTACGGCTTTTAGAGAATTTTATGTTTGATAGTCTTCATATAGGTCTTTTCCTTCCTTTCTTTCTTTATTCTCATTAGTTGCTCAGAGATGAAATGAGTCTTTTGTCAGGAGAAACTAACGTTTGAATAACCTTTTGCATTATATCCTTCCTTCTAAACACTTTTCCCCCTTGGTTTCCAAGACACCCATCTCATAGTTTCCCCTCCCAGACCTTTCGTGCCTAGTTCTCAGTCTTCTTTGCTGAACCTTCTTTCTCTTCCTGATCCTTCCATAATAGGGACAAAAATTAAAATCACCACAATACTACTGTGATTTATTGAAAGCTTATTTATGTGCCAGTCGCCTTTCAAATGCAGTATCTCTTTAATTCTCATAGAAATCCCATAAGATAGTTATTACTTTATAATTACTATTAATATTATTATTAGTTGCCACATATTCAGATGAGGAAACAGGCTGGAAAATTAGGAAACTACCTAGGACCAGTTAGTAGTAGAGCCAGGGATGAGAAGCTTGGCTAACTGACTCCAAAGGATGCCCTCCTTGCTTGGGTTAGGTCTCAGGTACACAGTACCCTGTGATGTAGGTACTATCACTACTGCACATGATGCATGAGGAGCCTGAGGTCTACACACATGGAGTGATTAGCCAAACATCATAAGAGCAAGTATGTCACACACAAGAATGGATTCTTTAAGGAACACTTGTTTGACAGAATGGAGGCTTTTTTCTACCTTCTACTTCGTTTACTCTGGGTTGCAGTTTGCTGACCTACTG